TATGTCGCTTTCTGTTGTATGTTTCCATTCGGTGCTGGGCTGAATGTGCGGCAAAATGCAGTCATAGCCCCAGGTCTGACTCAGCCAAAGACCTGTGCATGACTCAGTTTCATCGTTTGCAAGTGGCTGAAGAAACGCCAGGCAGCTGGGGTTTTTTTCCTCCTTCAGACATCTCGTACCCCCCCCTCCGAAGGTCCCCCATAACAGTGAAGGGATCAAAGCTATATTCCTTCCATTAAAGGTTTGGTCTGAAAGCCAGACGCCTGCTGTTCCCACCTCTGCCGTCAGCCTACTGGGGTGCTGACAGTGTGGCTTAAGAATCACATGGTTTACAGGGCTCCCCAAATAATTCCTGCAACTACACCGTTCCATCGCTATTTGATTATAGCCCTTTGGTTTTAACACATGAGGAAAGAACAGACCAAGGTGGCTGATGCTAGAGATGTCTTTTGGACCAACTAACGTGAAACAGCCCTGACCTGGACAGGACAGGCGTAACCCAGTCTTGTCAGGTCCCGGAAGCTAAGCAGATTCAGCCCTGGTTGGTACTTCCAGGCAGGGCTATTTTTGGGCAGGAACGCACAGGAATGGAGTTCCGGCTGGCTCCCAAGCTGGCCACGCCCAGCAGGAACTCATTAGCATAACAGGCCACACTCAACAGCAGAAACGCATTAGGATTGGCTACAATTAGGGGTGTGTGGCCTAACATGCAAAAAGCCCTGGGTTTTGACAACAAACAAGGTAAAGAGAATAAGAAGCAATAGGTGGGTGTGGCTGGATGACCACACTTCTGGTAACATGGGGGGGTGGCCTAATATGCTAATGAGTTCCTGCTGTTGGGTGTGGCCTATTATGCTAATGAGTTCCTGCTGGGCTTTTTCTACAAAAAGAGCCCTGCTTCCAGGGTTGCTGAGCAGAGGCAGACAGTGGCCAACCACCTCTGTTCGTGACTTGCCTTGAAAAGCCCATGAGCGGTTGCCGCAAGTCAATTTCGAATTCAGGCCACTTTCCACACACAATATGAAACAATCCCGATGGGTACCAGGGAAGAAACGTTGCTCCATACCATAGCAGCAAATCTGCAAAAGCACTAGCCAATCTCACATTGGGATGGAGAGGGGAAGTTACTTTCTGTCCTCAGACATAGTAATCTGTTAGACCTCCGGCATGACGCAAAAGCCACTCGTCATCCCCCCGCCCCCCGCCCCCCCAGGCTGAGAAGTTTGTGTCACCTTAAGCAACAAGCTGAGATCTCCTGGCTTTGCGTTCTTACCCATGGCATTTCTGGCCTTAATTTGGGCTTGTTGCCGTTTCCCCCAATTCACTGCAATAGCGCCATTTCTCAGAAACCAGCCACCTCCATCATTTTAAGGGCATGACCTTTCAGAGAACAGAACTGTCTGCTGCCTCTAGCTGTTTTGTCGCATTGGTCGTGGTAGCAGGGGGGCCTTATTTCGGGCACTTGAATGCTGTTAAGTTTTATTAACACTGACAACGGCTCTTCCTGTTCCACTGCTGCACAGTGACTCAGCAGAAGGGCTTTGGGAGCACGCCCGGTAGAAGACTCTGAGGTTAGTTCTTCTGTGCGCCTCATATGAACTTTTCTCCATGGAAGTGAGAGACAGGCAAGCAGATCTAGCTGTGGTTGGGGGCTTCTCTGTTAGCACATATGTGCATAAAGAAAAGCTTGTTGTTGTTCAGTTGCACAGTCGAGTCTGTCTCTTCGCGACCCTATGGACCACATCATGCCAGGCCCTCCCGTCATTCTCTGGAGTCTGCTTAATTTCTGGTTCATTGCCTCGATAACACTGTCTAACCATCTCATCCCTTCTTCTTTTATCTTCAGTTTTTCCCAGCATCAGGGTCTTCTCCAGTGAGTGCTCCCTTCTCATTTGGTGGGCAAACTATTTGAGCTTCAGCTTCAGTATCTGACCTTCCAGGGAACAGTCAGGGTTGATTTCTTTTAGGATTGCCTGATTTGATCTCCTTGCAGTCCAAAGGACTCTCATCTTCTCCAACTCCATAATGCAAAAGAATCTATTCTTTGGCGCTCAGCCTTCCTTATGGGCCAACTCTCGCAGCCATACCATTGCTTTCACCGTACGGACTTTTGTTGGCAGGGTGATGTCTCTACTTTTTATTATGCTGCCTAGGTTTGTCATAGCTTTTCTCCCAAGGAGCAGAGGTCTTTTAATTTCATGACTGCTGTCAATGTCTGCAGTGATTTTTGATCCCAGGAACGTGAAGTCTGTCACTGCTTCCACGACTTCCCCTTCTATTTGCCAAGGAGTGATGGGGCCGATTGCCATGATCTTAGTTTTTTTGATGTTGAGCTTCAAGCCTACTTTTGCACTCTCCTCTTTCACTTTGAGCAAGAGGCTCTTTAGGTCCTCTTCACTTTCTGCCATTAGAGCGGTATCATCTGAGGTTGTTGATGTTTTTTCCGGCAGTCTTAATTCCGGCTTGTGATTCATCCAGGCTGGTATTTCATATGATGTACTCTGCATATAAATTAAATAAGCAAGGTGACAGTATACATCCTTGTACTCCTTTTCCTATGCTTTTGCAGAAACCCAGCTTGTACTTCTGGCAGTTCTCTATCCACGTACTGCTGAAGCCTAGCTTGTAGGATCTTGAGCATGACCTTGCTAGTGTGTGAAATGAGTGCAATTGTGCGATAGTTTGAACATTCCTTGGCATTGCCCTTCTTTGGGATTGGAATGTAAACTGACCTTTTCCAATCCTGTGGCCACTGTTGCATTTTCCAAATTTGCTGGCATATGGAGTACAGCACTTTAACAACATCATCTTTTAAGACTTTGAATAGCTCAGCTGGGATACCATCACCTCCACTAGCTTTGTTGTTAGTAATGCTTTCTAAGGCCCATTTGACTTCGCATTCCAGGATGTCTGGCTCAAGGCCAGTGATTACACTGTTGTGGTTGTCAAGGACATTTAGGTTCTTCTTGTATAGTTCTTCTGTATTCTTCCCATCTCTTCCTGATCTCTTGTGCTTCTGTTAGGTCCCTACCATTTTTGTATTTCATCATGGCCAGCTTTGCATGGAACGTTCCCTTGATTTCTCCAGTTTTCTTGAAGAGATCTCTAGTCCTTCCCATTCTGTTGTTTTCCTCAATTACATTGCATTGTTAATTCAGGAAAGCCTCCTTATCTCTTTTTGCTGTTCTCTGGAAAATCTGCATTCAGTTGAGTAAAGCTTTCCTTTTCGCCTTTGCCTTTCGCTTTCCTTCTTTCCTCTGCTATTTGTAACGCCTCATCAGACAGCTACTTTGCTTTCTTGCATTTCTTTTTCTTTGGGATGGTGCTGTTTGCTGCCTCCTGTACAGTGTCACAAACCTCCATCCGTAGTTCTTCAGGCACTCTGTCTATCAAATCTAGTCCCTTAAACCTATTCTTCACCTCCACTGTATATTCATCAAGGATGTAATCTAGGTCAAACCTGAATGGTCTAGTGATTTTCCCGACTTTCTTCCATTTAAGCCTGAATTTTGCAATGAGTAGCTCATGATCTGAGCCACAGTCAGCTCCAGGTCTTGTTTTTACTGACTGCATAGAGCTTCTCCATCTTTGACTGCAAATGATATAATCAATCTGATTTCGGTGTTGTTGGGCTTGTGCATTCAAAGAAAGTTTTAATGTTCTGATAGAACAGGACTTATTCATCGCCTTATTCTGGTTACAGGGTTGGAGGTGCATTGTGCTGAAACTCATAAGCCAGGGTGACATCTAGTGGTTCAGATACTTTTGCTCTTCTCAGTGGGCAGGCGCTTACTGACGCTCCTTTTCATGTCCTGAGACTTCATTGAAGCTTTGTTTGCATTTAGCCGGCACTGCGTTGTCTGTTGTTTACCACTAGGGGCACACTGGCCTTCTGACTGGCAAGCACGCTATATGTATGTGATGTGCCGAGGTGCTTCTGCCTGCTTGGCTCGTCTGTCCTTCCTGCTGATTCTGGTTAGGATGCCAGCTTAGCAAAAGACTGCCCCTTTGTGCCAAAGCTGCCACCTCCAGAAGTCAGTGTTTCCTAACCCGGCATTGTCAGGCCAGGAAATACCACATCATAGGTTTCCACCTGTGTATTAAT